AGAGTCTAGGCTTACGGTAGCATAGACAGTTGTAATTCAGTTTTTGCCTGAAAGCTTGCATTTTCTCCTTGGAGTGATAGGTTCATGTTATTTTTGAGAAAATGTTCTGCCAGACACCTGAGTCCGCACAGCTGGTCCGTTTAGCTGATCACCCACCAGGTGATCTCCAGCTAGAGGTGATGTCCGGGGGGGAGCTGCCAGCTGCTTTCCACTCAGCTGCACACCGTAGCACTTGGGTGTACACAGAGCACTCTTCCGGCTTCCCTCCTCCACACAGAGTGTGAGAAGGTGTGTGTCAGGTGAGCAGAGAACCCACTTTGGTGCCCACTTGCTTTTGCAGGTGGACATGTGAGCACAGTGACCCAGCACTACTTGCCGAGTGGTAGAGTGAACACAGTTTTGGCTCCCAGACCCCCTGCAGGGTCCTGGACCCTCAGGAATCCATGGAGCACACTGAGGACGGCTACCTCGAGTCATGGAGTCAGGTGGTCTGCAGTGAGTGATGACTGGAGCTGAGAGTGTCTGGGCCGCTTGATAGATGCTCTCCAGATAAGGGAGAGAGACGAAATTAGACACTAAGGAAACTGTAAAATGACAACAGGCCCCATACTCTTCAACAGTGTCTGCCTCTCCTGGGCACCAGACCCCTCCAGACCTTCCCAGCCCTCCTGCCAGCTTTCATGTCAGCACGACCACCCCTCAGGCTGGACCAGCGAGGCAGCAGGGCCAACTTCTGCCCAGATACTGCTTTACGCCCCGTCTTCACTTCACACCACTCTCTTGGGACCCTCCTTTCTATCCTGCTGAGCAGATCGGCCCTTCATCATCCTTTTACCCCTCCAGCTTCACCAGGACTGCTCGGAATATGCCTGCCCTTCTGCACTGTGCACTCTGTTATCTCTCCATCTTCCAAGCAACAGAACACAGCCACGCTGCTCCACCCCAGGTCACTTCCGCCCCAGGCAGGCTCCTTAGACAAGTGGCTGAGCTGACCCCCTTTCTCCAGAGCCACCTCTGCAGCTCTCAGCCTGTCTTCATCCTAGTACAGCCCTGGGCACAGCCTGTGGTTGCCCCACCTTCCCGGGGCTCCTTCCAGCCTTTGCTTCGGTGTCCGTGGTGCCTCCTCTTGCTGGGTGTGTGGAGTTTTTGCTCCTCCTCCTGTGTCCACACCTGCTCCCGGGGAGAGCTCGCCTCCTGCACTCAAACACCACCAGGTCTACATACCAGGCCAGTCGCCTGCCCTCAATTCAGCACACTGGGCCAGGCCCATTTTTCTTCTTGATTTTGATCATTAGCTGCTGCTTCCTGACGAAAATGTGAGTACCACAGGATAGATTGTTGTTTCCTGCTATGTCCACAGTACCCAGCTCATAGTAGGTTTGGAACCAATGTGTGTCAAATAAAATAGTATCAGTAAATACAAGAAAATTGTTCATTTCTTTAAGCCAGTTTTTTTGCTAATGCAAAATAAAAATTATTTTGCTTTTCTACTGCCAGAGGGTACATATGCTCACCAGAGAGAGAGAGAGAGGGAGAAAGCACCCTCCCACAGGGTATGGTCACACTACAATTCATTCCTTCTCCATCTTTCTTTTCTTAAAGAATTATTTAATTTTATTTATTCATCTGTTTGTTTTAATTTGACCAGAGAGAAAGAGAGAGACAGAGAGGAAAAGTGTGAAAGCAAGCCACCAGGTTTGGGACTCAAACCATGGTCAGCCATGTGATAGTGTCCAGCGCCTCAACCACCACACTACCTGCTGGTCCCCCTTCTCCATCTTGTCATGAATTGAGGCATGCACACATACATGCCTGGCATGTACACATACATGCCTGGCATGTTTTTCATGCCACTGGGGCCATGTGGGATCCGGCTCCCTTAACCATTAGGCTATGTGGTAACTCTGCAAAAACTGTTTCCAAGGCCACCCAAAGACCCTGGAAGTCACTGGGGAGGTACCTTCACTTCATGGTCTGCCCACAGCTCCAAGAGGGTATTTTAAGTTCTTTATAACCATATCATGTTTGCATGTAACAGTAGGACTGGTTTGATCCTTACCTTCTGGCATATTCAGGGTATTTGCTGTTTTACAGAGGTCCTCAAAGAGGGCAGCGTCCTATTCCCAGATCTCCTGGTGAGGGAGACTGAGGCCGTCATCCACAAGCACCGCTCTGCCACCTACTGCGAGCAGCTTCTGCAGCACATGCAGGCCGCGCCAGCTGCACCATGACCAGCATCCTGGGCTCCGCGCCCTCGGTGTGACTGCTGGTGGAAGTGAACACCAAACCTCACCCTTAACCTGGACTGAAATGTGTGGCCTTTAAACTTGTCAACAGGGCACCTTTTGTCAACAGCTTAGAGTACTCACGGCAGGGCTGTGGCAACAAGAAGAGTGTAACATAGAAGAATGTTGTATTCAGAAACTTCTACTCTTCTCCTGGTCAGTTTTCAAGCCCAGCAGTTGATGAGTGGAGTCTATTTCTATGTCTTATTTGTACGGCTCACGGAGAGGTCTTCCAACAGTCTACCAGCTAATTCAAGATTAAAATTAATTGTCAGCTACTCACGCTGGCAGACAAATCAGCTGCTGCTTATGTTTTTAAGCTCCTCATGCACTGCTGGGCCCAAGGATTATTGCTTCTATCCGCTTACATGCCCACCAAGAAAGTTCTTAACTGTTCAACAAGAAAGAAAAAGAAAGGTCAAAATCACTCAAAAGACATTTCATCTTCCTGTCTACCGAAATTAACATCTCAGTGAACACTCTAAAGGAATTTGAAATCTTAACAGTTGTTACCAGTGAAATGTTTCCTATTTTAAATACACTGGAATTTATAAAGTTATGTGGATATATGTGGTCACAGTATTTTTTTAAAGCTGGTAGAGCTAACAGTGTTGAAAAAAGAATATTTAATCCAATCTAATTTTGGTTGTTCTCTTACAAGCAGCACTAAAGTAAGATTGTATTTTACTCTACCGCTTTCTACACCCAAGTGCCTAGAACATTTTAAGTGGATATTATTATCATAAGCCAATATTTACTTAAGAGAGAAAGTTCTGTATTTCCTAGCAACCAGATTTTAACATTTATACATTGGTGTTTGAAAATTTAATTAAAAATATTTATTTTAATCATTTTGTATCTATTTTGTCGGTGGGTTTTGGTAATTTATTGACATTTCTAAAAACAGCTCATTTTTCCTTAGATTTAATCTCATGGTGACCTCAGCCTGGAGAATTCTGCCTGTATGGGCTGTGGGTTCCTCTAACAGGGCTGGCCACCGTTCTTTGTAGTGTCTCCTCTGAACACCAGGTGGCAGGATCTCCTCACAGTTAGGGCAATCAGCAGGGTAGTTAAAAAGGCCACCCACAGGTTTCACCTTGAGAGGACTGGAGTCAAGGAGCGCAGGGAGGTCGGCCTTGGAGAGGAGTGTGGTCTGAGCCTACACCATAAATCTGGACCACTGCAGATGCACCCCCATCTCCGGTCATTGCCATCACCCTCCTAACCTTCAATGTTTCTAACATAACTGCTCTCTGAGCTGTTCCCTTAACCAATGGCTACCGGGATTTAGGACGCCCTCAGGTATGAGCTTCCACCAGTCCCCTGATTGCCCCTTGTCTTCTGTGTCCTCTACCCTCTTGAAGGTGACCTGGGTTAGGAGTCCTCAGAGAGGCATCAGCATCACCTGGAAACTTGGTAGAAATGCAGAGTGTGAGGCTTCAGTCCAGTCCTCCAGTCCTCAGGTGATTTGAGGCCTGCTGGAATGGGAAGACCTCTGCCCTGAGGATATGCATTTTAATATCCAGCAAGTAGCTCCATTGTCTTTGTAACCAAAAAAATTTTAAAAAGGTCACAGAGGGCTTGCCTGAGAGGACAGACATAAAGAACACACTCAACCCAGCTTTCACACAGACTCTGTGCCAACACCCAGGACTGACCCACCTGGTTGCATCCTGGCTGCCGCAGTCTTGAGACCATGGTATCGTGGAAAAGAACATCAGTAGTTCTTACATTATGTCTCCAAAGGAAGTGGGCTAACTCCATGGCCTGGAGGTTTAGGCAGCTGGATCACACATGGCTGACCCCATGGTTGAGTCCTGGACCCAGTAGCTTGAAAAACAATACTTGGCATGTATGCGTGTGTGGCCAAAATCCCAATGAAATGGAAAAGGGATTGCAGAATGACCATTCCATTTGATGGAAGCTGTCTCCCTCTCCCTCTCCCTCTCCCTCTCTGGCAAGTGCACAAATCCTCTGGCAAATTAAAGAACTATTTAGAGTTAAGGATTACAGCAAGGCTGACACGGGATGGGAAGCCAGGGCTGCAGTGAACATTAAGATGACCATTTGGGTGCGAGTGGTTTTCAGATGCTTCAAGTGTTAGGAGCAGATGCAGGTTTGGATTATGTGTTTCTCAGCCAGACTCCACAAAGGTTTGCAGTGGATCAGTGCAAACATGTTGGGCAGCTCTCTCAAGACCATTCCATCCTCAGCCCCCAGAATGGCACTGTGTGGACTGCAATATGACTGAGTCAATTGGGCTTGCCTTCACTGCCTGTGGAAGATACACTGAAGAGCATGCACTGAAGCACTTTCAAGAAAGCAGTCATTGGGACTAGCAGTTAGCATAATGGCTATGTCACTAGACTCCCATGTAGTCTACTACAGTTTGAGTCCCAAACCCAGTGGCTTAAAAACTCACATCGGGTGCGTGTGCATGCGTGCCCAAGATCCCGAGAGGAGAATGAAGGAAAAGGGATTGCGGTGTGGTCATCCCCCTGGGGGGGGGTGATTTCTCACTTTCTGTCTCTCTCTCTCTCTCTGTGTCTGTCTGGCAAGCGCATGTGCCCTATGGCAAAAACCTCTCCAAAAAAAAAAAAAAGAAAAGCAGTCATCCTGTGGCATTGGAGGTTACAAATCTTGCATGTGACAACAAATCAAATACCATAGAACCTTTCTGGGACTTGGCCCTGGAATTACTAGAAAAATACCAATGCAGTGGGAAAGATTATGCCTTCCAGCCATGACTGGTTACTGAAATGTTGGCTACATTTTCAGAAACCAAAGGAAGCTTTAGAAGGAAAAATCTTCGTATGTGACCAGTGTACCTCAAAGCAAAGATTTTCTTCAAAACCAGTTATACTCTCAGAAGCCCAGAAACAACTTATATCGTGCCACCTACCTGAGGTTCTCAGACTGCACCTCAAAACGGTTCAGGTGGTCAAGACATAATAACCGAGAAAAGATTGGTGTTCATGTTGACTTTGAGGGAATTTTTTTTTTTTGACTTTGAGGAAATTTTAAACATGGAGCCCTGTTGCTGCAGGGAGATGGTGAACTCCTTCAGATCAGAATGTTTTATCTGTGACATCTGCTGTAGTCATGCACCATGGGAAAGGAGTTGGCTCAGGACTCTGCACTCCTACTGCTACAGTTCTGAAGGAGGGTTCTAGGCACACTGCAGTGATTCCAAGCAAAGTATGTGCACTGTGGATGAAGTGCGCAAGGCCCAAGCGCACATTTCGTTTTATACCGAGCACATTACTGAGAATGGACAGTCTAAACGCTTGGCTTCAGAGCGCCTGTGTAGTAGCCAACATCTCAGTG